CGGGTAGCTGCACTGTGCGAAGTAGCGGTAACTGGGTCGAGCTACCTCGCTGCCAGTCGCCCGAGTCTTCAACGGTACACGTCAACGCCGTCACCATGAAACGGGCTGTCGCTGCAGGAGCTGACGTGTACGCACTAGACATTTCAGGAGTAGAGGGAGCAGAGCAGCCGAGTGATTTCAAGAAACTGCTGGCAGCGGTACCGCCCGAACTACAGGAACTGTTGAAACGATACCCCGGGACTTTTCCCGACGACTTACCAGAGGGGCTGCCACCTCAGCGAGCACATGACCACCGAATAGAATTAGAACCGGGGGCACAGCCAACTGTACAGCGCCAGTTCAGACTGACACAGCCCGAGCTCGACGAACTGAGGAAGCAGTTAGATTACCTGTTAGAGAAAAAATTCATCCGACCGAGCTCGTCACCGTTCGCCGCACCGATACTGTTCACACCGAAAAAAGACGGGGGTTTTCGCATGTGTATTGACTACAGAGCACTGAACAGGGTAACAGTCAAGTCGCGGTACCCCATTCCCCGCGCCGACGAACTGATCGACCAACTGCGAACAGCACGGGTTTTTTCGAAAATAGATTTACAAGGAGGTTACCATCAGATTAGGGTCGAACCATCGGACTGCGCCAAAACAGCTTTCCGGACTAGGTACGGGTCATTCGAGTACACCGTGATGCCTTTCGGACTGACCAACGCACCAGCGACATTTCAGATGGCCATGAACGAAGCATTTAGGCCACTTTTAGATAAATGCGTGATAGTTTACCTCGACGACATCCTCGTCTACAGTCGCGACAAGCAGCAGCACTTAGCAGACCTGGAAGCAGTGTTTAAGATTTTAGACGAGCATCGGCTACTGACAAAGGGTTCCAAGTGCGAGTTTTTTCAGGACCGGCTGGAGTTTTTGGGGCACGTTATTTCGGAGGCTGGGGTCGAAATTGACCCAAAGAAGTTAGACACGGTGAAAGCCTGGCACCCCCCGACAATATCACGGAACTACGGAGCTTTTTGGGGTTCGTAAACTACGTGCGTCGGTTCGTCCCCGACATGGCACGGTTGACTGCGCCGCTGACGGACTTGTTACGGAAGGGGGTCGCTTTTACATGGGGGGAGAAAGAGCATGCTGCCTTCTCTGCCCTGAAAGATGTTCTCTGTTCACCGCCCGTCCTGCGCATCGCCGACCCACACCGCCCATTCAAAGTAGTTACCGACGCAAGCGACATTGCCATCGGAGCCGTACTACTACAGGACTTCGGCAACGGCCTACAGCCCATCGCATACGAGTCACGAAAACTGCATCCGCCCGAGAAAAACTACCCGATACACGACCGCCAAATGCTTGCGATCGTGCACGCGTTCAAAGTGTGGCGCTGTTACTTGACCGGCGCAGACGTGACAGTACGGACAGACCATAAATCACTACAGTACCTTCGCGCACAGCCACACCTCAACCCACGACAGATTCGCTGGCTCGATTTTCTCGAGTCCAACTTTCACTACACGGTCACTTACAAAAAAGGAGCCTCGAACATCGCCGACGCACTGACCCGCCCCACTGCCCAGATCCACGCAATACTACTCGCCCAGACAAGCCCACTACTGACAGGCCTATTTACCCATGGGTACCAAACGGATCCATTCTTCACGGGAGGAAATTCGCAGCAGTTCGCAGCAGCAAGGGGAGTCTATTACGTAAAAGCCGGGACTGACCGCATGTGGGTACCTGGGTATACACTGCTACGGGAATTACTGTTACAGGAGGCACACGACGGAATTACCTCGGGGCATTTCGGAGTAGAAAAAACACGGCAGCAGCTGCAGCGGTATTATTACTGGCCCGAAATGTTGACCGACGTACAACGACACGTGGCATCGTGTCCCACTTGCCAGCTCATGAAATCATCACGACAGCGGCCGGCGGGACAGTTGCAGCCGATACCACCCCCAGAGCGTGCTTGGCAGCAGGTGACGATGGACTTCGTCACGGGGTTACCGGCCAGGGCGAGTGGGAACGACGCGATCCTGGTCGTCGTCGATCGGCTGACGAAAATGGCACACTTCGCAGCATGCAAGAAATCAATCACAGCCGAAGAAACAGCTCGCCTCTTCATCGCCACCATCGTTCGATTACACGGGATACCAGCAGCGATCATCAGCGACCGCGACACGAAATTCACCAGCAACTTCTGGCGGAACCTGTGGCAACAGTTCGGCACGCGACTGCAGTTCAGTTCATCATACCACCCTGAAACCGACGGACAGACAGAACGGACAAATCTGACCATGGAACAGCTCATCAGGGCCACGTGCGACGACCCGACCACGTGGGAACAGCAACTGCCACTCATCGAATTCGCGTACAACAACTCGCCATCCTCCACGACCCAACAGTCACCATTTTACCTAAACTACGGACAAGACCCAACAGTACCCATGACCCCGAATCCCGGCAACCCAGTACCACGAGCACAACAGTTCGCCGAAATATTACAAGCAGCACGGACCCAGGCAGCAGACGCAATAAAAAAATCGAACATCATCGCTATCGCAACGCCGACCGCCACCGCAGACCTGTCACTTACGAGCCCGACGACCTAGTTTTACTTGACACCCAGAACCTCCGCCTGCCCATCACTCCAAAACTCCGCCCCCGATATTGTGGACCATTTCGCATAAGCCACATGATTACGCCCGTCACCGCCCACCTCCTCCTCCCTGCTGACTGGTACGTCAGCCCCTCATTCCACGTCAGCCTGCTTCGCCCTTACGTCCCGTCCACGAGTCAACTGCCACGCAATCGCCCAGCTAGCATGACACGACCGCCGTCTGAACTAATCATCACCCCCGAAAAAATCCCGAGCCACAGAGTTCGGGACCCTCGAGGAGCCCGAAGGATCGAGTTCCTGATCCGCTGGAAAGACTGTACACCCACTGAAGACAACTGGTTTCCCCTGGACAGAATCGAAAACCACCCCGTCCTCACCGAGTATCTGCGCAGCCGAAATTTCAGGGATGTACACGCGCTTTCGCAAGGAGGACCTCCTTTCAGGGGGGGGGGGGGGGGTGGGTGGTAGTGTAAGGAAAATTCATTTTCCTTACTTCGCGTCCCCGCTCAGCGCGTACACCACTGTAGCACCACAGTCAGCACCGCTACCACTCGCAACCCTCGCATCGACAATCCTCCCGCCACCTTCGTACGTCGCACCCCGACCTCACGGCTCGGCGGGTAACCCGCGCTCCGGGCCTCCGCTTCGACATTTTCCCCAACCTCAGTCCCAGGCCCGTCGCGCGACAACCACAGTCCATTACCGTTACCACTGTAGTTTCGCTATATATTCTTCGCTCATGCCTTCGCTCATTGTACTTTTGCTTCGATAGTGCAATTCTCGTTCATTCACTCGATTGCACTCGTAACAGTTACCTAGTTATTCCCTATATGAAAATCATCTTGCATGAGTGATGTTGTCACTGTAGCTGAGCAGTGGTGCAACGACCAAGCACTTCTCACCCCGTCATCTCCCTCTCCAATCGCTGCTGATCACACGTCCCAGCGTTGCAACGGGCTGCCAGCAAAGGTTGTGACCAATGCGATGTTTCGTTTCATCGCCTGGCTGTCCGAGCTTGCCTTCTCGTACTGGTCGAATCCAGCTCGAGGGACGGTCCGTCAATCCTCTAGTTGCTCGAATAAACGGGTAGCTGTTAGCATCGTGTATTCCCACGTGTTCAATCGAGTCGCGATGACAGCAAGGCTCCCATGTGAAAGACCACGCCTAGCGGTGTGCGCCTCGGGAACTATGTTCCGTTTTTTTAGGAGACTGACAGAACAAAGCATCACTTGGATTCACCACGTAGCAGCGATCAAGACCTCTCTGGACCGTACTAAACTAGCAGATACACAAGGAATTTGGCTCTCTACAGATGAGACGAGTGAGTGCTTCAAAATGCGTCTTCGGACCTGGTAGTACCTCTGGTGCAAGTATTTATTGCCCAGCAGTATCTCCTGTCACTCATTCCTTCGCTTCATAGGTCTTCATCAACTCGCTTTCATCACTTTTTGAACTTTGATTTGCTTACGCATACCTTATCAGCTGCCTCAGCCCGGGACCTTTGTTGGTAAATCTCGCATCCTGCGTCTACTTCGACTCGACAAACCGCCATGGACTCGAGTCGCTTATCACCGACGTCACCGTTAACGCCAGACCGCTCCTGGTCCCATCCTTGCTCTGTAAAAGATGCCTCCCCTTTCGACCTGTCTGCGTCATCCCATTCGCATGAAACGCCATTGCAGAATGAGAACAGCCCCGTCAACCCCGAATCCACCGATTTCGATCATCACGTGTCAAACGCTTTTCATTCTACTTCGTCAGAAAAATCCCAGGAGTTTCGCGCCGCCGCGAAAGCCTCGGCAATCTCAAGATTATGGGGCGGCGCCGGCGCGGCAGCCACTGCTCTGCCAGCATGCGGCCGGCAGGGATGTGGAGTTGACGGACCGGCAGCTATTAGCCGGCCGTTGACCGGCGACGAGGAGCTGTGGTGGCGCGCAATGCATGGTGGCACTGGCGTCTGTGTTGTGGGGTTGCAAATCTCCGGCCACGTCAGCATCGACGAGGTAAGCATCTGCGTGCTATAAGTTTCCGCTCCAGCTTCCCGCGTTTCCTCCCGTCATTCCACCATCCCCATTCCGCCCATCATTCTCGCCGTCCCCCATTCCGCCATTCCCAATTCTGTCATTCTTACATCTGCACACTATCCTCCCTCCTCACCTCGCAGGTTCGGGCAGCCATCGAAACTGTCTACCCGGCACCCCGTCCTGTCCGCCCGGATAATCAAGCCGCCCAAGTCCCACCAGCCCGAGCTCCACGTGTGCCGACCTCCCCAACCAATCACCGTGCGCGAATGTGACACTGCTGACGTGGCAATGGCGGACGAGTCAGATTGTCAGAATGGAATGTTGCATCGTGTGGTCGAAACGGAGCTAAACACGCCCATGGTCGACGGTCGGGATCATGCTGGGGCTACGAATAATAGAGATAAGGGCGAGGCGTCTGTTGACGTGTTCCAGGTCCACGTGTACGCGTCTCATTCGTCCACGCTCGTCGCGCTCCGGTCGCACATCGCCGCGCTGGACGAGCATTCGGCGCCGCCCATCGCGGCGGAATTCCTGGAAGAACTGCGACGCGTGAAGAAGCATCTGAACCGCAACTCGTCATCCTCCCCATCCTCCCCTTCCTCCTCTTCCCCTACCTCCTCTCCTTCCTCCTCTTCCCCATCTCCCTCCTCCTCCTCCCTCTCGTCCTCTGAGGATCAGACCGCCGCACCTTCCCTTCCTCCTCCCCTCGCTGCGCTCCTCCCCAAGGCCCTCTCCGCTAAAAGCGCATCCGTTAAAGGCACATTCGCGCAAGCCTTCAACGCCGTGGGTTACGTGCGCAACGCCCTCATTTCCTCGCACCTTCCTTTCGAGCCCGGGCGAGCTGACTCGAGGAAGAATTCGTTTACGACGCGATTCGCTACAGTCACATTCACTAAGGAGGGTAAGCCGCTCTCAATCGCAAACAAACAATCCTTTATGACCAGTATACACATCTGTACCACTTCCCAAAGTCCTCGAACTCACTTGTATTCGCCGCTTTCCCTTCTCTTTCCGACGTTCACCCTCCATTATTGCAAAACGACAGAAACGGCCGCCCTTCTGGCCGCAGCGGAGTCGCACGGATGCTCCCTGTTCTCCCTGGAGTGCGCAGCAGGGCTCAAAGCTGCCGCCCGGATGAAGCAGCTGGGCGGCAGAACTGAAGTGTTCAGCCTGGGAAGGTGAGATGCAATGACCGAATAAAATCAGCGAATCAATAACCGAATCAATGAACGTAACTGAAGCAGATTGACAGAACATGAACGAGAGAATCAATGAAGTATGCACTGATTGAGCAGCGGCAATGCGAGTACCAGTCCGATCTGCCTCTTCACCCTCTTCCTTCCTCTTCCTCTATTCCCCCCTTTTTCTCCCACCCTACCCCCTTTTTCCCCACCCTCCCCTCTCCAGTGCCATTGGTTGCCGCACCATTCTCGACCCGCCCCTTCCCCAAACCGCCTTGGGCGAGTACATGTCCATGCTGCCTCTCAAGCAGGAGGTTTCCGAGAAGCTGCCCTTCTGGGACGTTGCCACGTCAATCAGCGCCCATGCTGAGTCAGCACTGCAGCGGCAGCAGCAGTTCACAGACATGCCGGTTCTCGAGCTGCTCTTTTCCACGGTACGTGAGGATTTTGAGGAAAGCAATTTCTGGTCAGTCTTAAAAAAGGATTTGAGATTAAAGACATTGATGAGCTGCTAGGCGAAATCCACATTTTCAAGACACTACCGATCCACTGCACCAGAGAATGATGAGTTGATAGCAGTCGTGTTCGGTTGGTGTGGCTCAGAAATGTAGCAGCATCAGCAATACACCAACATGCCGGTTCTCAAGCTGCTCTTCTCCATGGTAAGCGTTACAACTGCCACAGTCCATGGGTTACAGTTGGAAGGATGTACGGGTCACAAGTTACAACTGGAAGAACTCATAAGTCAACTGGAAGCTCAGACATGTCTCATGAAGGGTTGAAGGAGGAGTTTAGACACATACTCACTGGAAGCCACACTGTTCTACCATTACAAAGCTTCAGGTTTTCTGGTTTTTATGGACCAGCGTACAAACATTCCATGTCAGCAAGCAACTTGTGATACTGTTACCAACCGATGTTGGCCATCTCAGTTCCTTTGAGCTCTGCTTGCTGCTCTCTTTTCTGTTATTTCTTTCCAGGCCATGAAGATGCCGAGCCTCTCCCCGGACCACTCCCTCCGAACCTGCTTCATCACAGCCGGCATGCTCGCACCCCTCAAGGTCAACTGGCAGCTATCCAAACCAGATGCCGAAGCTGGTGTGGAGGCTCGGGCCGAGGCAACTCATTTGACAGGCATGGGGTCGGAGCCGTTACAACTGGAGCAGGTGCTAGGCCCTGTCGTGTCTGCCCATGGGGTCGGCCCTGCCATTGCCATTCCGGATACCCTCTCGGTAAGTGAAGCGCATTCATTCAGTAACTCAACACACATGGGATCGGAGCAGGTACAACTGGAGCAGGTGCTCGGCCCTGTCGTGTCTGCCCATGGGGTCGGCCCTGCCATTGCCATTCCAGGTACCCTCTCGGTAAGTGAAGCACATTCATTCAGTAACTCAACACACATGGGATCGGAGCAGGTACAACTGGAGCAGGTGCTCGGCCCTGTCGTGTCGGCCCATGGGGTCGGACCTGCCATTGCCATTCCCGATACCCTTTCGGTGAGTTCCACATTCATCCACCCAACAACTACTTTCTAGAGAGAACATCAAGTGCTTGTGCCTGTTGTGCCTGCCCATGGGGTCGGACCTGCCATTGCCATTCCCGATACCCTTTCGGTGAGAACCACATTCATCCACCCAACAACTACTTTCTGGAGAGAACATCAAGTGCTTGTGCCTGTTGTGTCTGACCATGGGGTCGGACCTGCCATTGCCATTCCAGATACCCTTTCGGTGAGAACCACATTCATTCACCTAAACTCACCCTTCTACAGCGATCATCTTGTTAATACACAGCCTGCTGCTGAGCTTGTTGCCAGTTTTTTTCTTTCTTCTCATACGTAGTGAGAGTGATTTAAGACTTACGGCATTTGAGATGTACGGTACCATAACATTTTCCTGTTGAATCCCCACCCCACCTTGCAGGACGGCGTCCTTCGGCTGAGTTTCGTGTTCGTCACGCCTCTGTTCACTCGCGAGCGCATGGCGACATTCGCTGCACTCACACGTGATTTCATGCTAGAAGCTGCCCGCTTGTAACTTCATACGTTATGGGTCCCTTAGGTTGAGCTTCGTGTTTGTCATGCCTCGCGTGTTCGTTATGCCTCTTCACTTTTGACCGCATGGCGACATTCGCCACACTAACACGCGATTTCATGCTAGAGGCAGCCCCCTTGTGACTCTACACAGCTGCAATGTAAAGCATATATTGTCCAAGTATAGTCCTTGTGACTGGCAAACAAGTGATGCGCACTACAAACTCGTTGTGGAAGCTTGGTGTCTTGTCTACTGCTTCATGTGCGATCTTCTTTACCACTTACAAACATCACAGCATGATGCTAGTAGTAGCACAGCATGATACGCTACTCTCTACAGTACGAACAGCAACCGGAGTAAGCACAGCACAACCATAAGAGGCCCTCCATTATCCCCATAGCAACCCCTCTCCATCTGCTCTCCCTGCTGCTGCTCGTTAGGCTGCTCTCCAGATGCCCTTTGTAATGAAGAGTCCATAACAGAACTCCAGGTTAAACTATGTCCATATTAGTTCACCCTGAAGTCCTGGGGGTGCTAGGGTGACTGGCAAAGGAAGAAGGACCCCCTACTCCTGCTGTTACAACTTTGCAGCGCTTCAACCTGGCCCCCCTACCCCTGCTGTTACAACTCTAAAGTGCCTCGAGACTCAACCTGGAGTCCTGGGGGTGCCTGGGTGACTGGCAAAGGGAGAAGCACCCCCTACCCCTGCAGCTACAGTTGTGCAGTGCGCTCTAAATTCAACCAGGAGTCCTGGGGGTTCCTGGGTGACTGGCATAGGGAGATGGACCCCCTACCCCTGCTGCTACAGCACCTGGATGGTTCGGGTAACCCTGGTAGTTGGGTGGTCTTGTGTATGATGAAGGGTGAGGGTACCCGGGTGATTGATATGATTGATGGTGTTGTGGATGATAAGGTGGGTGTTGCGAGGGATGGGGCATGTGGGAGGGGTAATGAGGCCTCGAGGAGGGGTGGGAGGGCGTGGAGGGGTGGTGATGGTGGTGGGTTGGGGGCGTGTAGGCATGAGGACGCATGGATGGGGATGGAGGGTGAGGGGAATAAGGTCCCCATGGGGAGGGAGAATTGGAGTTTAGGTGAGTTGGGGTGGAAGGGTGAGGTGTGTAGGAGGGATAGGAGGAGTGAGGAGGGTGAGAGGGGTGAGACGGTTGAGAGTGGTAAGAGGGAGTGCGTGGGGAGTTAAGATGGGAGGGGTAAGACGGGCCTCCCCATTGGTGTGGGTCCGATTGGAGGTGCGAGGGAGGGGAAGGGAGAGCAGCGGCCGATGAGTGCGGTGAGGATGGGTGGGAGGGGGTGGAAGGGCGTGAGGTCGTCTCAGGCCGCGAAGCGGTTGAGTACACAGCTAGCCTGGGATCACCCCGTTGCGAGTACCCGTTAACATTCCCTTGCGGATACCCTTCAGAACACCCCTGAGAATAACCTTGGAAATGCCCTCGGGGATACCCTTGAGAATACCCCTGGGAGTTATTCCGCGGGTATCCTTGCACGGGCCGGTCCTGGTAGGAGTTGTTTGGATGAGAGCTGTTTGGACGACCTGATAGGCGATCGCTCCGAAAGGAGCCGTCGCTGTCACCATGAATACTTCGACCTCCCCTCCCTCCCTTCTCTCCTCGCCCAACCCCCCGGCCATCCCCTGCTCGTCCCAGCCAGCTTCTCGGAATCTTCTCCTTCTTTTCCTCCCCCATGTGCTGAAGCTCTGGCGGCTGTGTCTCAGCGAAGACCTCAGTGGGCTTTAAGCTGCCGAAGAGGCTGAGAGACTTGGAGCTAGAAGAAGGGTTGTTGGATGCGTGGAGGAGAGACGGCGGCTTGAAGAATGGCCGATACGGGGATTCGACGTCAGGGACGAACTTGTCGATCTGGGAGGGGGCGAGGAGGGATGGAAGCGGTGGTGGTTGTTGGGTAAAAAGACGGAACGAAACGGAGACGACAGCGACTGGGACGATGAGGATGAACAATAGAAGAGAGAATGTAACACGAGATTTGTATGTGGGGCTGAAAACTGGAACCTTGAGACGTGTCAGAGCTGTACGATAGCCTAATAACGTAGACTACGTTAGATACATGGCGCCTCCGAACACGAAGGTGATACCTTGAGAGTTTCGAATTTGTTTTCAAAAGTCCTGAAATACCTTGAGCTTCTCGGGTGGTTCCCTCGCGGCGATCAGCACGCCGACGACGAAAGAGCACGAGCACGCGAGGATTCCCAACCCGCAGATTAACGACTGGCACGTGGTGGCTGTCGCCATTGATTGGGTTTAGCTAGAAAAACCAGCAGGCGGATCAACGCTTATTGCTTTTTACTACAAATGGACGGCTTCGGAAGAATGACACGCACTAAATAATAAATAAATGAATGTTAGCGTGCAGGCGTCTCTAACGAAGACCACAAATATATACACGAGTCTCGCGGCAACCGAGACTTGCTGCACGTGGACAACTGAAGGATGCGATGTCGACGAGTGAGGGACTCTACGAGCCGCGGGCGCGGGGATTAGGTAGGACCAATTAGTAGTTGGTAGGCTGTCAGTGCCAAATACATGCGTGGTGTTCGGTGGATTCGAGGACTCTTGGGACCTCCGACTTCGGCGAACAATGTCACGCTACGGTAACATCTGCGAACATCGGAAGTAACATTTACGAAGACCTGGTTGGTGTTTGGTTCACGATGAACTGTCTGGCGTGATGCATTACGTACGCGATAGTGACCAGTCCTGCTGGAGTCTAAACCATCACATCATGAAAGTACTGGAGTCGGAGATAAAAAGTGTTCAAATAATAATGTAATTACAAGCGCTAACACATTACTGTACGTAACCACTCATTTCTACCCAATCTATATCCCAAGGACTCGTCGTGTGATATCGTCAAAAGATTTAACGTCTTGTTTCCATAACCTGTTCAAAGACAAAAAAGAGTGCAAAACAGAACATTAACATCAAACAGTATATGACTTGACGTGCACTTCTACTTTCCCTAACTCCTTATGTCGCACTCTCCATGCTCACCATACATGCAGGCCAGCTTCCGTGGCCCCTTTCAAATATTTTACTCCATACATTATACATGTAGGCCAAATTCTCTACTGTCAATCACCAACCTCACATGTCATCGCGTCTCACCATGCATGCAGGCCAGCATCCATGGCCCCTTGTAAGTCGTTAACTGCATCATCCCCCACATGCACCGCGCGACCGGGAGAAGACACTCCTATTTCCTCTTTTATGGGGAGAAGGAGGAGGAATGGGACACGGGAACAAAGAAAAGGGGAGGGGTAAGGGGGAGCAGAAGATGGAGTATTATTGTATCAGGGCCGCTTTTGAGTCGTTCACTGCATTATCCCCCACATGCACTGCGCAACTGGGAGATGAGAAGTGATGGGGGAGGTGAGAACTGGGGACAAAGACAAGGGAAGGGGTAAGGGGGAACGCAGGGACACACTTCTCCTTGGGGCCCCTTACAGGTCGTTCACTGCATCATCCCCCACATGCACCGCTCGACCGGGAGAATACACTCCTAGTTCCTCTAGGAGAGGAGGAGAAGAAGGAGGAATGGGACACGGGAACAAAGAAAAGGGGAGGGGTGAGGGGGAGTCGAAGATGGAGAAATATTGTATCAGGGCCGCTTTTAAGTCATTCACTGCATCATCCCCCACATGCACTGCGCGACTAGGAGATAATACACCGAGTTGCTCTGTGGTTAGGAGAAAAGTGGGAAAGGAAAGTGGGTGCAACCAAAAGGCAAGGGGGTCGCAAGGAGACACTTTTACTTGGGGCCTCTTCTAAGCCATTCACTGCATCATCCCCCACGTGCACTGTTCGACTGGGAGATGACACGCCCAGTTGCTTGTTGTGGAAAAGCAACAGAAACGGTGGGGAGGAGAGGGGATGGAGGAAGGGGTAGGAGGGGATGGCCAGTGCGGGGTTGGTGGGGGTAAAGAAACGGAAGAGATGGCAGATAGATACACACGAGTTGAGAGTTGCTAAGGAACGAGGTTAAGTTCCCCACGCAACTTAGACATCAAGGTTTGGTAAGCCTTTGTTCCCCACGAACCCCCTTCACTAGCTTTCTATTTCTCCCATCCTCCTCCCAGTCAAGAGCGAGAGCCGCTTCCCAAGAGCAATTGACCTTTGAGTCAACTCAAAAGCCATCCTCCTCCCAGTCAAGAGCGAGAGCCGCTTCCCAAGAGCAATTCCAAACGTCTCCCGTGATGCTTAGCTTTTCCTTTGTGACCCTTTTTTTCTTCCCAAATCTGACCACGGGTAAGGAGACCTTGGACCGTCTCAAAACTCCATCCCTTCACTTAGTAGAAAGAGAGAGCGCCCTACCAAGAGCAATGGCGAATATCTCTGGTGATGGCTTCTCATATCTAACTTCAGCCGACACAACGATGGCGTCAAATCTGTGGGGGGACAGACAGGGCAAGGGAGTCAACAAAATGACCAAGAGCAATGGCGAATATTTCTGGTGATGGCTTCTCGTATCTAACTTCAGCCGACACAACGATGGCGTCAAACCTGTGGGGGGACAGACAGGGCAAGGGAGCCAACAAAATGACCAAGAGCAATGGCGAATATCTCTGGTGATGGCTTCTCGTATCTAACTTCAGCCGACACGACGACGGCGTCAAACCTGCAGGGAACAGGATGATGCACTAAAGAGCATAACTTAAGCAGATGAAAAATAAAGAAAGAAACGATATAGCAACTCAAACAATATAGCAATTCAATGAGCAATCTCTTGCACAATTGAGTCACCTCAGTTGCCATAAAGGAGCAACTCACAGCGAGTCGACTTGAAGGTCCCGCAAAATCGGCCGCAATCTCGAGTCAAAGTTGGAAACAATTGCAAGGCGGACTGAGAGTAGAGCATGGCGGGGAGCGGAAGGAACGGGGAAAAGTCAATTCAAAGCAGCTTGCAGCAAATCGACTTGAAGGTCCTGCAGAATCGGCCGCATCTCGAGTCAAAGTTGGAAACAATTGCAAGGCGGACTGGAGGGAGGAAGCGGGGAGAACCGTATGCAGGAATGCAGCTATTCAGTGTTACAGTACAAGAAACACGAGTGTGACTTTTGAGGCGCCTCAAAACACAAAAGTGTGAGCGGCTGGATTGAAAACAATAGTTATTAGGACAGGACATCAGTAAAACACCTCAGCGAATAGCTTTTCCCGCCTTTTCATTGTCACTTCAGGAGAGAGAATCACACTACTGCACCTCTGCTACCTCGGCTGACAACCTGACAACCTGACAACCTGACAACCTCGGCTCACCATTGGCTTGTTTGAGTCTCAAGAGAGAATCCACTGCTCCCTCTGCCACCCTCCATGCTGACGCCTTCTCGTAGTGCTGCCAAGAGGGGAGGTTTAGTTCAAGAGCAGGACGAGAGTGAGTGAGTGAATATCTAGTCGGTTCACACGCCACCTGCTCCGCTGCACCCTCTGCCACCCTCTGTGCCAACGCCTTCTCATAATGCTGCCGTGGCGGGCAGTGCGGGTTGAGATGGGTGGACAGGAGGCTCAAAAGCAGGAAGGAGAGTGAGTGAGTGAGTGAGTGAGTGAGTGGGTAAGTGAGTAAGTACCAAGTCGGTTCGCACGCCACCTGCTCCGCTGCACCCTCTGCCACTTTCCATGCAGTCAGCTCGACGTAGACCGTACGGTTGACTCTACGACAGGTGAGGTGAGGTGCAGTCAGCTCGACGTAGACCGTACGGTTGACTCTACGACAGGTGAGGTGAGGTGCAGTCAGCTCGACGTAGACCGTACGGTTGACTCTACGACAGGTGAGGTGAGGTGCAGTCAGCTTGACGTAGACCGTACGGTTGACTCTACGACAGGTGAGGTGAGGTGCAGTCAGCTCGACGTAGACCGTACGGTTGACTCAACGACAGGTGAGGTGAGGTGCAGTCAGCTCGACGTAGACCGTACGGTTGACTCAACGACAGGTGAGGTGAGGTGCAGTCAGCTCGACGTAGACCGTACGGTTGACTCTACGACAGGTGAGGTGAGGTGCAGTCAGCTCGACGTAGACCGTACGGTTGACTCTACGACAGGTGAGGTGAGGTGCAGCCAGCTCGTCGTAGAGTCACGGAAATTGAAGAAGAAAAATGGAATGGAAACCGTACCTGGTACCTACCCACCTGGTACCCACCCACCTGGTACCCACCCACCTGGTACCCACCCACCTGGTAGAGGTCTTCGAACAACTCCTGGTTGTCCGAGCCTGTTGCCATGGCCACTGCATGCCGCCAAAACGGCCGCCCGTCTCCCTGGTGGTGGTAGGTGGTGGGCACAGGGGCAGGGGAAGCACGGGGAGATGAGAAGGTGGGATAGACAGGCATGCATTGATTGACCCTGTTGCCATGGCCACTGCATGCCGCCAAAACGGCCGCCCGTCTCCCTGGTGGTGGTAGGTGGTGGGCACAGGGGCAGGGGAAGCACGGGGAGATGAGAAGGTGGGATAGACAGGCAAGCATTGATTGACCCTGTTGCCATGGCCACTGCATGCCGCCAAAACGGCCGCCCGTCGCCCTGGTGGTAGGTGGGAGAATGAGGGAGGGAGGGGTATCCAAAGCGTAGGACAATGAGAAGGAATAGCAGTGAGACTTCACCTCGGTAACTCCCACCTTACTCACTCCGAAGTGACCTCACTCTCTCTACCACCATGGCTAGCAAAATCTCTACTGCTAGCACGAAGGTCAAAAACAGACATGACAGGATAATTTGCAAAATATGATGCTTGCGACAATATTTGCAATAACGAGATTTGAAGCATGGCACTAAAAACCATGGTACTTATAGTTATCATAATTACAGCGAGATACTCAGAAACGTGCCTCGTATCTCAGACCGTGAGGCCATGGCTCCGCGAACGCTCTCCTGAAACCCTTCTTGATTTCATCCGCCGATACAGTCACACCTGCGCACGTGATGCCGAAATCGAGTGCTCATAAAGTTAATCTCCTCAATCGTTGAGTGAAATTAGAGCCATCACCCACATGCTAGAAAGGAAACGACAATTCATCTTATAACGAACCGTATTTCCCGGCGTATGCGGCGTACGTGTCTTGAACGGGCTCGGCAGTTTTCAGTAGCGTCCCTCCGACGTCTACAAGAACTGCATCGTATAACGGAGCCGACTGTAACGAAGCAACACCTAATGCTGTGGCTGATCCTTCTCTAGACGCAGCCGATGCCACTATGGAGGACGGAGGTGCTGACGCAGAGAGTGATTGTAACGAAGGTGACCGAAACAAGCGTTCCTGTAACAAGCGCGATGGAGGGGATTCTAGAGATCGACGTAAACACTCGATAGGAGCACTTGATTGACGAAATGCTCGACTGAAACTATTCTTCTCAGCTAAGCGTGACAATGTCGATAATCTACTCAGAGGAACCCCAAAACTCGACGCGCGGGTAGCGGGGAGAAGGCAGGCGGCGCGGATCGTGCAATGTAGCGACGCCATAGATTTGATTGTCAGAACCTAACTACTTCCTAACATCTCCTGGGGCGAGAATACATTTCAGAATCTGTGGCTGAAGATATCTACGGAGTATGGCGAGGTATGGTGTTGCTGGTGCTGATTAGCGTCCCCATCCAATTTCGCCACGGTGGTGGGGTGTAACCAGCAACAAAATTCGCGAAATCGCATAACTGCATTCGCCTTTGCCATAGATTTTGACCCAACCCCGATTTCTCCACAGCACCCCGTCCCCGACTCGGAATGGGCTGCTCCACGGTGTTGTGGGAACACGGCCTTGGAGAAAAACGCGGATCACAAACAGTCTGACCTGCCAGGCAAGATTCACAAGTTTCTTTCTCTGCGACTACCCTCACTCTCTCTCTCCGACCAACAGATAAGTCGCACATATAATGCAGCTGCTGGTCTCGTTAGATTTTCGCCTAGTCGGGCATTCCCACCGTGGGGAAGCCGAAAACGGTAGTAGGAAGTGACGAACATGACAGGACACTGCGTAGTGCTATTTGTTCGTGCGTGATTTGGATTTTGTGATTCGTGCACGGCAAGGCATCACGTCCTCCCTAATGATTTCGTCCCTGCGATTCACCCGACGTTGAGCCCTTCGCCAAGCCATCGCACGCATCAGATTCAGAGTTACTTCGTCTCATCGCAAGCATGGCAGGCCGCCAAACCCATATTGCATATCGCCTGTCGCATATCGCATATCTTCCTCCAATAATTCTAGCTTACATCGACTCGTGACTCACATTGGAGCCAAGCCCGCATCGCGCACCTATAATTGTACGCTAGAACTATCTACGATGGCACGGCGGCTGCCATGCTTCCATCATAAATCACCAGTTCAGCAAAAGTACCATTTCCAAAGCAAGCCGCTATTCTCCCCAGCTTGCAATCACCGCTATTCTCCCATCCCTGTCGTTCGGCTTCTCCTATCGGTTCTGCCCTGTGGTTGCATCACCCTCCCACGAGACTCGCCTTTGCACGTGGCAGCACAAAGCTCCTGTTTCGCGCCTCTGTTGCTCCTCTTCGATAGCCCGGTCACCTCTTCTGCTGCTTATTCCGCCGCCGTTTCTGCCGCCTCTCCCGCGGGACCCCCATCATCATGAGGACGATGCGCGCCTCTCCTGCCGGACTCCTGCTGCTCGCCATTGCCCTCATCTGCGGTCAGTCTGCTGCTCTCGCATTGGCTTTTTTATTGGCTTCTCCCATTGACTTCTCTTATTGGCTCTCTCATTGGCTCGCTCATTGCCTTCTCTCATTGCTGTCAAGAGCTTTTACTTGTGGTCAGCGCTTGCCTTGATTTGTTTGCTCTCGGGTGTACGCCTCCCTGCTCGCTCCTTCCTGCCCGCTTCTGTTTTCCACTTGGCCTCTATTTTCAGCTCGATCCTCTCATCTCCCTCTTCTCAGCTTCCTCATATCGCCTCTCTCTTCCCTTCTCTGCGTGCAGTGAGGTGCATTTTGAGGCGCCTCAAATCACACCTCACTGCACGCGGATTTTGAGGCGCCTCAAATCACACCTCACTGCACGCGGATTTTGAGGCGCCTCAAAATGCACCTCTCAGCTCGATCCTCTCATCTCCCTCTTCTCAGCTTCCTTATATCGCCTCTCTCTTCTCTTCTCTGCGCATCCTTTTGAGTCGACTCAAAAGTCGCCTCTATTTTCAGCTCGATCGTCTCATCTCCCTCTTCTCAGCTTCCTCATATCGCCTCTCTCTCTTCTCTTCTCTGCGCATCCTCTCCCTTGGCCTCTGCAGCAGTTCAGATGATGACGGCAGTGAAAGGGGACGACACGGTGAAACACATGACACACCGCATGACACACCGCATGACGCACCGCATGACACACCACATGACACGCCGTAGCCTGCCTTCAGTGTATGGAGACGAAACGGCACCACCAGCGTATGGGGAGGAAACGGCACCACCAGCGACAGCAGGTGCGGAATGTATGAATAACAGGGTGTGATTCTGAGGATCTTGACACTTAAGGGCGTGTTTCTGGTGAACATCTTTCTTTCGGGTGTGTCACGGAAGGGTTTGGTTCTGATGCTGCTTTGTCTAAGCAGCAATGCTTTCCTCCGTGGCAAGCCCTTTTCTCTTCTTCGTTTTTGCACTTGTAATGACGCGCATTCCACATGATTTTGCCCTAAATGAGCATTGAGGTGATTTTTTTAGCTAGCTGCCTCAAAAATCGCCTTCCGCATAATCTTGCACGCAATGAGGAAGCATGTTCTGAAGGCATAAGTAAGTCGTCGGACGGCCTTAGGAGAGAGGTATGCGTATTTTCTTCTCTTGATTGCCGCCTCCTTCAGCCTTTCACGCATGCTTCTCTCCTCTCTGCTTCAGATCCTGCCTGTGAGGCGTTGGGCTGCGGGCCTGATGGCACCTGCGAGGTGGCATTCCCATATCTTTGTTTGTTGCACCTTTCTCTTCGCCTATACAGCAGATGACTCTGCCTGTGAGGCGTTGGGCTGTGGGCCTGATGGCACCTGTGAGGTGGATCAAAACGGAGAGCGCTACTGCAAGTGGGGTGAGTTCTTTCCTGCTCTCATATTAGCACTTGCATTTCTTTGTCTATCCTTTGTTCAATTTTCTTCTACTCCATCCTGTGCATTGCTAGAGTGAGAGTGCATTTCTTGTGCATTCCACTGGAGCCAAAATCCCCCACCAGCAATTACACTGACATACCGCACTGCACCCATCCCCATCCCTCAGTATCACTCTGTGGCACCTGCCCCATAGGAGCCACATCCAAGACCGTGCTTGCAACTGCATTAACATACCGCACTGCACCCATCCCCACCCCTCAGCCTCACCCTGTGGCGCCTGCCCGACTGGAGCCACCTGCAAGACTGTGCCTTCTTTCTTTAACAGCTCGGTTCAGGTGCCTTACTGCGAGTGCCCTGAAGGCTCTGGCATGACCACCAGCGACTGTGTTGCGGGTGAGGTTTCTCTTTAATTCTATGAAAACCACATGTTAGATCTAATCAGCTACAACTCGGTGCAGGTGCCTTCCTGCGAGTGCCCTGAAGGCTCTGGCATGACCGCCACCGTATGTGTCCCGGGTGAGCTTATCCCGCTCTTTGTTCTCTCCTCTCTTCGTTCGCCCCACTCTCTCCTCTTCTCACTCGCCCCACTCGCATCCCTCCACTCGTCGCATTCCCTCCTCCCCACTCACCACCCTCTGTCCTCCCTGTACTTGCCCCACTCTCTCCTTCCTTTTTGCCATTCTTTCTCAGGAGGAAGCTTCACAGTCAGTTCCTTCAGCGTCACACTTATTGCAAATCCAGCAGCAAAGGACAATACCTCCCGGCCCTACACCCTCCGACTGAACCCGAATGGGTGCACACAGTTCCCATCTGCAGTGGCTGGGAAAGTCACGCTTCGCTATGCTGTTGTCAACATCGGTACCACTCTGAATTGCCAGCGCTACTATGCTTACAATGTGGACAACTGTGAAGGGGGGCCGTATGGTGCGACTATCAGACAAGTTGCACCGCTTCATGCATACTCTTCGGCGTGAGTGATTGAGCTATCTTTCTCCATCGTTGTCTTGTCTGCTCTATCTTCCCGCTTCTCTTTCTTCTCCAGTTCTCTAATCGTCAGAGGCAGAACTTGCGAGTAATCCTTTCCTCTTTGTCATCCCCTTGTTTGTGCCATTCACAGTCGCCCTGACTCCACACGCTCCGTGAAGTGTTATTAGTGGGTTACCTTCAATCAGACCGGATTTTTGCTTCCACAATACCCCAGCGTAGAACCAAGGGACATGCCGTTCCCTGGTTTTATCTGCTCCATGTGTTGTGTCGCCTACACTCAAGAAAGTGCCATATGCACTTGCACTGACTTAGTTGCTTCCCCTTGTGGGGGACCGGATTCTTCCCTCCACAGAGACCCAGCTTAGATCCAACTTGGTTGCATATGATGTTATAACTGAAGGATCGTAGTGGATAGAATAAAGTTGCTAAGTATAGGAGAGAACTTGTAAAGTCTCTGTAATGACCTTGTTGGGAATTTGAAAGAGAACAAGATGATTGTAAGGTAAGAGTACAAGAGTATAAATAGCAAACCTAGCTAGCCATGTACTCTGAGGGGTACATTCCCTTATTAACTGTATTGCATTGCTACAATAACCCACGACTATTGCTATTCTGGACAGTTACCATGTTGCATTTCTTAACTGCCTTGTGCGGTTACTGGGCAGTCAAGGGTCACGACCGTTGACTGTCTTCGACTGTTGTCCTTCGGGTGACCCTCGATCTTCCGCGTGCTCTGTATGAGCTCATGCGGTACTGGTACAGACGTCTGCTTCGCTATGGAGAGCCGCGATGGTGGAGAGTCTTCGGGAATGCTAGTGATAACCTTTCGGTTATTCCAACACTCCCCTTCATTCCTGAAGGTGAGCCACGTGGGATTTCTTGGTGATCCCGCAAAGGTTGGC